ATTTACCCAGGTTCAGGCCGCGAGGAACGCGTAAAACCCTAGTCCTGCTTTGGTGGATGTATTGAGTGTTCTTGAGCTCTTGAACTAGCTATGATGGCTGCGTGGTTCAAAAGAGCCGAATCCCCTTCTAGTACGCCATGGGCCTCCTTTTATAGTCGAAAGGGGCTGCCACAGTGGCACACAGGAGGTGGAAAGGCCTACAGTGCTACGAGTTTATCACTCGTATTACAGGACAAGGCGCATTTAATGCGTAGCTTAGGTGTCCTCTTGCTTTATCAGGGACGGGAGCGAGGCCCATGCCGTTCGTCGCCGCTCCTCCTCGCTTCGACACGCGCCCTGGCCAGCGATGCATGCGGCGCCATGTAGGCAGGCAAGCAGCCGAGGTGGCGCGGTGGTGGATCCATCACGAAGATCTGCATGCCGCCATGCAGGCGCGTGCTGAGTTGGCCTGGAAGCTGCATGCTGCCACGCAGGTGCCTGCCCAATTGGTTGGGCTGGCAGCTGCATGTGAACGGCGGTAGGACACTTGGTTGGTGCGGGCCTGGCAGTGGCCCCGCTGACGCCCTTGGCAAGGGTCTTGCCGGGTGGCCCGACAAGGGTCTTGTCGTGGCGCGTTGTCGTCCCCGGCAAGGATCTTGCTGGGGGTCTTGTGGGTTTCCTCGGCAAGGATCTTGTCGAGGATCGTTGCCTTCCAATCCTCATCTGATCTCATATATTCTTTGTCTTCACAAAGATCATGCCACCATGGAAGTGCCTCCCGAGCCCTGGCCCAACGTGATTGATGGTGTTGGAGACCGTGGGCTCGAGGCTGGCTCACTCCGCTGGTGTGGGTGAGCTACCCCGGCAAGGGGCTTGACGGGGCTGCTGAGGCTGCCCCGGCAAGGGTCTTGCCGGGGAAACCTGCTTCGTCCATCTGCTCTCTGTGGTCTCGGTCTCTGGCGTTGCGCTGATTGCTTTCATGGCTTAGACTCCTTCCTTTTGCCCTGCTAAGTGTGGCTTCGGCCCGTGGCTCTGACTGCCCGTGCACAAGTAAGGGGTACAAAGGAGTGCCCCTACTTTAGTACACCGACAAGGAGTATTACTGAGAGGGCCCAGAGATACCTCTCCGAAACAAGGAGTGACAAATCCTAATCTCGATCTATGCCAACCCAACAAACACCTTAGGAGACACCTATAGAGCACCTTTATAATCACCCATTTACGTTGTGACGTTTGGTAGCACACAAAGTGTTCCTCCGGTATTCGAGAGTTGCATAATCTCATTAGTCTGAGAAACTTGTATAAGTCATGAAGAAAGCAGTAGTAATGAAACTGACACGATCATAATGCTAAGCTAACGGATGGTCCATGTCCATCACATCATTCTCCTAATGATGTGATCTCGTTCATCAAATGACAACACATGTCTATGGTTAGGAAACATAACCATCTTTGATTAACGAGCTAGTCAAGTAGAGGCGTAATAGGGACAATATGTTTTGTCTATGTATTCACACATGTACTAAGTTTTTGGTTAATACAATTCTAGCATGAATAATAAACATTTACCATGAAATAAGGAAATAAATAATAACTTTATTATTGCCTCTAGGGCATATTTCCTTCAGTACTATGGCCCTGCTACTCTATGCATGTGTACATGTTGTAAATGTGGCTTCATCGCCTTTCTTGATATTATGTTGAGAACTCTGCTAGCCAATTAATGATCCACCAAGAGTGAAAGCTCGGATTTAGGCTATGAGTATGTTACCATACGTAGTGGAAACACTACAAACGCATAACGGGTCATCTGCTCATAAAAGGAATGTTTGCTATACATGCCCTCATAGCTTGATTAACTTCTCGGTTGTTGTTGGTCAATGGCGCCATCGGTTACCTAGCTATTCCAGATGACAGAGTAGAAGCACAAGCACATAAGAGCATCTCCAGCCATTGCCCCCCCCCCCCAGGAGGCTTGAAAATCGCCGCTTGGGGGCGTGCCGGCGCTAAAATCGGTGCTAGGGGCGATTGGGTTCCAGCCGCCGCCCCCAGGTCGCCCTCGGGCGGTGATATCGGCCCATTTTTTTGCAAATGACCCCGCTTTTCAGGCCAGTTTCGGCGAAAAGCCCGATATCGTCACAAATCGGCCCATATTCGCCGTGGTTCGAGGCAAATTCAACAAAAGTAATTTTTTTATCACATAGTTCATCAAAGAAAATCAATAGAAATCAAATAGTTCAACAACAAATAATTCAATACAAATTATATAGTTCAACAAATAAAAACTCATATTTCATCACACGTCGAGCTAGGCATTGCCCTTGAGCCTCCATAGGTGCTCCACCAGATCTTGCTGCAGTTGTTAATGCATGTGTGGGTCTCGGATCTCCTGACGCATATTGAGGAAGGCAGTCCAGGTTGCCGGTAGCTGGTGATCAACTTGTGTAAGAGGACCCTGCCTGTAATATGGTTGAGTGTCAAACATTGGTTCTTCCTGCTCACTCTCAATGATCATGTTGTGCAAGATGACGCAACAAGTCATGATCTCCCACGTTTGATCTTTCGACCAGGTCTGAGCAGGGTACCGGACAACAGCAAATCAAGATTGGAGCACACCAAATGCCCGCTCGACATCCTTCCTGCAAGCCTCCTGAACTTTTGCAAAGTGGAAGTTCTTACCTCCTAGCACAGGGTTTGAGATAGTCTTCACAAATGTAGACCATCTCGAATTGATGCCATCAGCTAGGTAGTACCCCTTGTTGTAGTGCCGCCTATTGACCTCGAAGTTCACCAGAGGAGAATGACCTTCAACAAGCTTGGCAAAGACGGAGGAGCACTGCAGCATGTTGATGTCATTGTGAGTTCCTGGCATACCAAAGAAGGAGTGCCAAATCCAAAGGTCCTATGTGGCCACTGCCTCAAGTACCACACTGCAACCGCCTTTGGCGCCTTTGTACATCCCCTGCCAAGCAAATGGACAGTTCTTCCATTTTCAATGCATGTAGTCGATGCTGATAAGCATCCCAGGAAATCCTCTTGCTGCATTCTGTGCTAGGATCCGAGCAGTGTCTTCGGCATTGGGTGATTGCAAGTATTGCGGTCCAAACACTACCACCACTGCTCTGCAGAACTTGTAGAAACACTAAATGGTCGTGGACTCGGCCATGCGCCCATAGTCGTCGAGTGAATCACCGGGAGCTCCGTATGCAAGCATCCTCATAGCTATCGTGCACTTCTGGATTGAGGTGAATCCAAGTGTGCCGGTGCAATCCTTCTTGCACTTGAAGTAGTTGTCGAACTCCCGGATGGAATTCACAATCCTGAGGAAAAGCATTCGGCTCATCCGATAACGGCGCCGAAAAACTTTGTCGTCGTGCAATGGCGTCGGCGAAGTAGTCGGAGTAGAGCATGCAATAGCCTTCCAGACGATGTTGGTTCTTTGCTTCCAGCCGCCCTGGCACCGAGCCACCTCGCCGCGGCTTTTCATTGCTAGCGAGCAGGCCGGTGACGGCTGCGAGGACCATGAGATGCTCCTCCTCCTGCACGTCGGCATCAGCTTCCTCCTCCAGCAACACCGCAAGCACATCCTCGTCGCCCGAGTCCATCGCCGAGCAGGCAAACCGCCGAACACCTAGCGGGCGTGGTGGACGCACAGCCGCCGGTATACCGCCCTGCGTGGCCGGAGCGCCGAAAAACTCGCCCGGAAGGTGGTGGAGATGTGCCGCGGCGAAACCTTCTCTCTTTTTCGGCGGGGAATGGCCTATCTAGCGGTGCTGGCCAGCGGGCGGCGCCGGGATCGG